TCCAACTTAACCAACGCCTTTTAGTGCACATCGTCTTTCGGATCTAACTTGTGCGGATCACCTACCTCCACATTCCAGTTCTTTGCACCCGTTCTGCAGAACCATCCGCACGCAAATTTCCACTTCCCAAGCCGCACAGCAACATCTGTGGGCTCACACGAAAGCCAAATCAGGGATCTATACGACAGGTTATTACCACCTCCTTTGACCACTAAATGAAGAAGCTATGGGTCGTTTTGTGTCCCCTATTGCTCAGTTGCTTTGTTTACACCTTTGGATCTATTGTTAAACAAACGACCAAGTTGCTTAAACTTGCCTCGCAGAGTCATGTGAAGCATCGCAACGTGCTACGGACGTGCTGACATCGGACACAGCAAATTCAGCGCGCAAGAGACAGGCAAGCAGCCTTGGCGCGCTAACCTTGAATTGCGGTGAAGCACATAGCCATAGACCTGAAGGGCGTCGTTTTACGGACAGGCGACTCAATGGGTTGTAACAGCCAATTAAGGGATACCGAGCATGACGCTACCAAAATGTAATTACTATATGGCCTTACTCCATGCCAGAAAGGTATATGAATAAGAATCCAGGAGTCCAATTTCCTCTTCAAGTTTTATCCTAAGTGTGCTTAGCACACAGTGGACAGGATGAAAATGCCCACTGACAGACCAAAATCTCTGTGGTTATGTACAGTACGTACGGTCATCTCACTGGTTATGATCGCACATTAACTACTTCAGCAATACGAAATAATGGCGGCAACTATTGAAAAAATAAACACAAAATCGCTTCATTAGAAGCAACCTTCGAAAATGAGGATCGGCAACTCGTTACAAATGCACCACCTGAGTCACTATTGTAACGTGTATTTGTTCAGTTGCCATTACTCTTCATCTGACCCGAGATTATTGCATCAATTCCCTCAGTCCCCTTTGTTGCACTCACACTCGCTGTTCGGACGCTTTATGTGTGCATGCATACCGCTGTTTCTGTCCCTAGTTAGCTGTCGTTTCCTGGCTCGAAATCCTGGTTGAAGCCACTCCACAAGTCTTATTCGGTGCATGCCATATCGATCGCCTCCCTGCGTTTCTCCATTGTCACATACTGCATTCTCTCGGTTGGTGTCCAATTCCTGTATCGATCTCATGACCTACCTGCCCTCTTTGACCGTCGCCCCACCATTGACGTACCAACTCCCTAACTTCCCTGTTCTTCCTTGTTCTTCGAGTCAAAACAGGCCACGCCGGGGTTTTTGTCTGGTGGATATACTATCTATGCGGACTACATTACGGCTCAACAAACGTTTTCATCCTCAGATCGTTTCTACGTGTTTCCCGACAGTCTTTTATCCTCGTGTGATTGGACCATTGCCTGTTTTACTTCTGCTTGATTCGTTGGTGTGATCATGTCTGGCTGTATTATGGGCGTCAGCGTCGATTCGTTGAACTGCCTCTGTACAGTCGGATCGTCGCGTTGTTCTTTTAACTGGTAGCTGCGTTTACCTATTTTGTTGGGGACATTGTTGAAGTGTTACAATTACCATATTAAATTCTTCGTAAAATAGCACCGTTCTTCAGTACTGGATTCTTGATTGCTCACTGATCGTGTACCAGTTTCGTTTCCTTGTCTGTCGTTGAATCCTACTCGCAGATTGCAGATCCTTGTCCTATGCGTCGTTCAACTATCCTAAACGCTTTTAACGCTTACGTGCATTACCAGTGTCCCAAATAATTCTGAACCAACCACCTCTAGTCCGATTAGAATAACTACGACCAGGGCCTCGTCCACCCTCTGAACCGTCCCGAAATTTCAGGACGTCAAAGCAAGTCTTATTGTGAACGTGTTTGCTCCCAAGGTTAACCGGAGAACTTAGGCTTTTAGTTACTCCCGCTGGACCCAGAATAACATAGGAGGCGAATCTGTACTAACTCAACCTCCACTAATTACATGCAGAACATCGGGATGGTTGATCTCAACCCAAGCTGCGCAAACGGTGATTGATAGGCCACATAATGGACTGTTATTAATCTACACTAACTGCTAGGGGGGTACGCTTTCTCGAGCGCAGGCAAATGGAGCTCACGAATCGTGGTCACTCAATCATCTGCCCCGAAGCTCTGAACGAGCAGAGCCCAAGAAGAAACCAAGCTGATGCCCAACGAAAAGATATCGAGCAACAGACTAGTGTCGATTTGAAAGCAAACTGCATGATCGGTCGAACACTAACCATCGCAGACTGTACATTATGATTTAATTCATGTCTGGTTCACTTTTTAGTCTGGAATAAGCTCCAGGTTTTGCTGAGTACTCACCCTGTTTTTGCGGGGGATTGGCCCACTCTGTATTATAACAGTGTCCGGCACCACAGTAACGTTACAGCATCGACGTAAAATTCCTTAAAAGGAGAATACCTCGATGATGTGAGCCAGCGTATCTTCATATTTGACCTAGTTGTAGCTATGCCCGCCAAATTGATATGGGTCACCCGTCATCAAAACTCAAAGTATTATAATGGATCGAGACTACGCCGAGTTTTACTGACTTTTGCCGCTGATGCAGAAACAGTTCTGCTATCGACAGCTCGTCTCCGAAATAGGTCATGTTCCATCCTCATCTTCCCGGATATTCCGTGAATCGAGCGCAAACAGGCTAAACACATTTTGGAAGACTATCAAATGGAATCCGTAACCAGCATCATCCGTGTTCACGGTTTTCCTGAGGCTAGGGGACATGATGAGCGCGAAACGAGCACCCACAACCGGCAGCAATAGAACAATGATGTATTAGGCGTGAAATAGCTATGCTTAACAAGTTCTGTGGGGTGGAAAACATAAAGAAAGTGAACTTTATAATAAAGGGATAAGCGTTTTAGCGGACTCACCATATACTTGTAGTAGAGCTGAGATATTTGCGTGATAAAAGTATAAACCCATACATCCATTGCTTGGGATTTTAGAGACATCGTTTGGTTGCGTTCTGTAGCCCCCTGCCTAACACAAGTTATAAAATGTGATGCAAATGAGACAATGCATCATCAATTCGTTTTTTAAATATCGTTAGTCTGGGAGCAAAGACGACATAATCTGAGTGAGCGTTCCATGGCTGACACACTCGGAGGGAGAGGGAGGCATTCCGGCGATCTAGACTATATTGTCCGTTCCAGAAGAGGACGTCTTAGGTTAGTGTTGTGGTTCAGTTCGAGCAGCGGGCTGCAAATGTGTTTTGGGTTCTTCAGAATCTGGTCCTCCGCAGACGCCGATATCGACTACTGTACCTTCCTAGGGATTGCAGTCGAAGCTGATAGGGCAGATGGAAGAGGCACCTAATGTTCTTCGTTGCCCCTCTTTTGGGAGTCTCGAGAGCAACGCGATCCTGTTTTTGCCGCGGCTGCCACGCTTGCATGGCGTATTCCACATAGAGTCGCACGTAGGCCTTACGTATTTGTGGGAAGATTGTGGGGTCTAACCGACCGAATGTTCTGCGAAGAAAGCCATACTGTTGATTTCTAGTTTACGACGACTTCTCCGCTTGTTTTGAGCCTCCGAGATCGTCCTGTATCAGTACAACCAAGTCACGCTCCTGAGGGGCCTTCTTCAAGGTGTGGTCTCACTCCTGAGAGGCCTTCTGCATAGTGTGGTCTCCATGCATGTACACGCTCACCGGCTGGTGACGCAGGTGGATCACCTTGTATTTAGCTTTGTTCAACTAGACTAGGTTCCTCGTTGGCCACATCTACATGCACTTCAGATCATATTGTGTGGATCGTGATCCCCTTTGTTATTAATTGCTCGCCAAATCTTGACGTCGTCGGCGAAAAGCAGGAAACTGTAGATAACTTTTGCCAGCCTATTGATAAACACCAGGAGTAAGCGCGGTCCCAATACCGAGCCCTGTGGAACACCACATTTCACCTCAAGCCGTTAACACCTATCGAAGCAATGAATAGATCTGACAGGTGTACGTACTCAATCCTTTAGGTATTGCAACTGTTTTGCATCCGTTCGCCATATTCGATTTAGATAACAATAGCAGCTGCGATCAATCTACGTCGAACTCTAATACCACAAAGCAGGTTTTACTGGCTGACTAACGTTGATGCATAAAGAAGGCAAGCCGTGGTCAGAGTAGTCCTAACCGGCTGTCATGGGTTCCGATCCCATTCTATTTCTCACTTTCGATAAATTCTTGAACAGTTTGAGATGCCCTGAGTTTATTGCAGATTGCACGTTTTCATAAGTTTTTCATCTATTAAAGAAGCCACAGTATGTCTGATTTAAGACCTATTCACGGTGAATGCTGAATACTAAATATTCAATTTTCCTATCCCGTCCAATGAGTTCGTGGCTTGGGAATCCAGGGTACGGCTGACATCCTGGGTTTGATTTGCGTCCCTGCGGCCTCTACCTGAAGTGTCTGGGCAGGCACAATATGCCACTAGTCCAAATCCCGTGTAGCCTTGAACTAGAAGTAAGGTGCTGCACGATACCTTGAATTGTGGCTACAAACTAGCACCGTCTGGTTACCTTGAACCGTAGCCCAAACATACTCATTTTCTGTAGCTGCAGCACGTTGTGGGTGCCATTAACGATGGAAAGCATGCTACTAAATTAGTTTAGTTTGCGCATGAGCACTTCAACTCTGTCCGATCGCTAAATTACGCCGAGTTTGGTTATGTATGTTGTCAGATGCATGAGGCACGCGCCACCACTTTTTACAGCGGATTTTGATTGTCATCTAACCCATCAACCCCACACAGCTTGGTCATTTTATGTTGATCTCATATTACTATTTGACTTCTTCATTACTCTTGGAACTTTCATACTGTCGTTGTTAAGATTTAAGCCTGTGATAAAGCGCCCATAGTTCAATTTCACTAATTTCCCTCCCGCCGTTAGTACTTTGGGTAGTTAGTAGCCAAGACATAATTATTTATTTTTATCTTTGCCTTCAACTACTTTTAAGTAGTATAAACAACAAATATCCCATTATTTCCCTTTCAGAGTCAGGGCTGGCACAACCCGAGTGGCAGTATCTCGAGGTGGTTCTTAAGAAAGATGCACCGACAGGGGGCTACGGATTCAGCATCGCAGGTGGGATCGACTTTCCCATATCAGAGGGTGACCCCGGTATATATGTGACAAGGATAGCACCCAATGGCTGCGCTGATGTTGACGGTCGACTCAGGTAAGTCCCAGGAATTGTGGCTTTGTTGCTTTCACACCTAGTTATGCTCTCAACTCCATTAGACTGACAAAGTGCTGGTTCGGCTGTTCGTTACTTGTTGCGCAATCGGTTGTATTTCTGTCTGAATGTAAACCGTCTGTGTATCAGTGCTGAGTCCACCATTGCGTGTTCAAAATATTGTCTGACTTCTCATTCCGGTTTCAGATGTTTATTCAGTCTGCCCAGTGTACTAACTTTGGATGAATGTTCTACTTGGTAATTGGTGTACGCAGTTGCACTTGAGCTCCCCATTCAAGCTACTGCTCCTAATCAGCATGTCAGTAAGAGCTTTAAGGCAGCCTTAACAACCACTTACTATCCTAGACCCGGGATTGAATGGCTCTTCATTATTCTGTTGCGATATGGCTTTCAGCACCCTCAAATCAATTGTTAAGTAGGCCGATACGATTCACTGTATAGCACATATCTTGGTGTTTATATGCTAGCTGCGACTCACAATCAGCCTTGTCAACTGCGCCGGTACGCACAGAAACACTCTAGATTAAGTCGAATGTAGCTAATCGATTGGACTGCGTCGGTTACTATTTGTTCTTCTGGTTTCATAACTGGGCTGGAATAACAGTCTCACTATGCTCCTGAGTACACACTGCTAGCTGCAATAGTTCCGCGACTCACAATCATTTATTCAACCGTGAATGAAGACCGTTTTGCCAACATTGTTACAAACCGAGCAGCTTAGGTAGAAACTAGCCATATGAACGGAAGTGGCACGGTCGTGTCCACCTTGTTTATATCTGTGACGGAGCAATCATTTGAATGGGATTATTGTGCTATCAAACTTTGAAAAATGCTTTCCTCGTTCACTTCAAGAATTCGGCCCATTCTCATAACAGCCTTAGCGTCAAACGGAACAACCGGACTTTCAGCAACACATGACTGGCTCCTCAGGGATCATTGATTGAATGTTTCATACGTTTTCCGTTGATTTTCTCACGACATTTGTACACGCTCGGGTTCGCTAGCCTCACAGAATGTGTTGTAAACTCGCGTCTAGCTGTCTAGGTTTATGGACAGAAATATTTCGCAGCAGCTTCTTTTTGACAAATTATTCTGAAACTGGGCAACAACGTAGGTTTGAAATCGCCAGCAGGTATTCTTCCCCAGCTATAACTATTAAATTTTTAGTGTTGCTTATTGCTAGAGAAATTGACCGTAAGAATTTTTGAACCCATGCCTTTTGGCACAATTCATTTGTTTTTTTCTGATATTTTTACTCTTGCAACGTGGTTTCCGAGACAGGAACATTGACTGCAAAGATTGAAAGCCTTCTCGGTGTTTGGAAGTATTACACATAGTGCGACTGCTTCGGTGAAATGTACCCAACACCTGGCCATGCGCGCAGCCCCAGTAAAAGTACATCACAGACTTGTATCAGTACTCTCGGGGTAGATCGGTTTTCATTTGCAATATTTTCATACTCGGGGTTCTTCTCACAGTGCAGCGTTGTAAGTATCCTACACTCAGACCAAACTTCGTACGAGCTGGCTGCCCACCTTTTTCGACTTGAGCACCGCATACCGAGTCAACTGTGACAGCTTATTCTAATGGTTTGGTGTACTAACCCAGACGCCAATTTCGGGCTCGCCATCTGCACAACAACATTGCCGACGCATGTGAAATCTCCACCTTCATTGCTAGTTTTATATGTTCAGTTTGCGCGGTCGTCCTTAGCCACCCGGCCACATCCTCTTGTGCATGCGGACTGGTTTCTCATATACGATACTTTAGCCTTGATGGTCTGATCTCTGGCTGCTTTTTAACGTCACGGTCCCGCCAACCTTCTAGTGTATTATTCATCCTAGTTAACATCGCTTAGCCAATGCAGATAGGCACGACTAGATCGGAACTAATTCCTACGCACCTCCAGTGCGCCACTCTGCCTCTTGTTAATTTTGGTGACGTAAGTTGCATACTCTCTAGGGCATAATTCGAGCACAGTGTGAGAATCAGCGCATTTTCTCACCTTTATTCATCTCTAAATAGTCAACCACCTTTTCTATCGTCTTGTATAGTAATTTGGACAGGCAGATGAAACCTGTTAGACGTCATCATCGACCATTCGGTGTTCCGAGTGTCCACGCCAGTTCTACATATTAAGTCTATACTTTTATTTTCGCTAATTATTGCGAATTCGGCATCCGGACAGCCAACGCGATTACCGGACACCAATCTTATTGGATACCGAGCGGATTATTTCCGAATGCGTATTAGTTTGTCACCGCTCCGTATGCACCAACTGCTACTGATGTGACACTCCTCTGTGGGCTGTTTATGGATTCGACCACAAAATTGTTTTCATTAGTTTGATGCCCTCTTATCTCCTCCTACTGTGTTCATCGAGAATGGCATCAGTCTGTGCCACCTGGTCAGCTTTCTCTCTGATCGTCGATTCACACATGCACAGTAGAATTGATCAGCACTTGTCTTCTAACCAGTTTCCATCTCACCAATTTTGAGGTTACTCTGCTTGTTTTAGCAGTCCCATGAAGGTGCGACATTGCTTCATTTGAACTTATTTTTCTTCTGTTCATATGACCGACCATTCTGATTTCACTGACGTGCATACAAACATTTGTCTATCAGTTGGGGTTTAAAGACACGATTGGCCACATATTCACGCTGTTCCGTTAATGTAGCTTTGTTATGAACCCATTACTTTGCCTCTTGATTTTATGACACGGGTTATGTACCGACGGGCCCCATGTAGCCATTCTGAGTACGTTTTTGTTATCACCTTCGAAGTAGGTCCTTTTTGGTCCACCAGTGAGCAAGACTGAAGGGAAACTCAGTGTTCTGGGATTTAGCCCCTCATCTGCATATTCCTCTATAAAAATAAGTCCCTGCTTTACTCCTACTTGACCGTCTTCACACTGCTTTGCAACACAACTTTTGAGCTGAATGGTTTGAATGTGAACCCTTGCCGGATTCTTGCATTGAGTCAGCAACCCAACACTGCCCCTGACCCCATGCAAACATGGCCCATTCTGCATGATCAAATGCGTAACTTAAGAAAAACTACGAAGTGAATAGTGCAAAAGTGCCACTACTGCCGTTTTCACTCCCAACGCATTGCATGACGTTGCTTTCGTCGACTATATTGAATAAAATAGATTTTTGTTATGTCCTTTCGATAATTTTGCCTTTTTTGTACATTCGGAAACGACTGACTCATGTCTGCTTTAAAGTTTGTGCGTTGTTATGATGCCTACGGTTGTCTATCTTTTGCCTACTCACGAATTACCCCAGCACTCTGTGCTGATAACACACAGCGCGTATTCCTTTCCTCTCCGTTTCCTACGATGCATGAACACTTATGTCGCAGTCAGTATATCAGTTGCGTCTCGTACATCCACACGAACTGACACTCGCCAGTATGCAGATCTAGTACCTAAAAAACACCCGAGGTTTCACATCAGTAGTGCGTTTGATCTTTTGTGCTCTACCAATCACTTGCTTAGCTCGGTGATTAGACCTTGAGACACGCTCACATTCTTGTTGACGTACAGCTTCCGATCCAGCCTATCAAAGCGATGGGTTTTCGATTCTGTCTCATTGACAGGTATCCCGATGGTGGAAGTAGCGTGCCTCATTGTTATGTATGACCCCTAGCCGATAAACGGAACAGAGCGCGCACGCGTAGTATGGAACCGATTTACTAAAAGCATCCTGCCTTTCAGTGGTTAGAAAAGCCGGAAAGAAAAACCAATGAAATAAGGAAAGTAAGGCAAGGTCACTCTCAACCAATCATATGATGGCCTGTGTTTACGAATCGATACTCAAGTTCATACGTGACACCCCATTTTCTCCTTGGTCAAGACTGCATACTCCGGGTTGATACCGATCAATTGGCTTAGGCGTGCGTTTTGAGCGTCTTACTTGTGGTTGCACCGCGTCCGTTTGTGGTTCCTGGTTTTGTGAAACGGATGCGCCGTCCGTGTGGGGTCAGTAGCAGTTGCTTTTTGATCCTGCTCCTGTGGTTTGTTTGAGCATGGCCGGGTAGGGTCAAAATGGCGACACACCACACGGCCGTCCTCCAGCTGTAGCTTCGCTTGCTTACTGGTTTAGGACATGAGTGTAGCAGGTTGCTAGCTTGTTTCGTGAGGCAGTCTTGTGTATACCGGATCAAAATCACTAAGACACATTTCCTCTGGCATCTTCTTATCCGCACACATTCCCTCCTGTTTTTCCTCCATTCTCATTCGAGGGTTCAGAGAAAGTGGATTCAGTCTCGTTAGTAGTGGCTGACCAAACCAATAATTCAGCGGGTGACTTCCCTGTAGACTCAGTCGGTGTCGTGCCGTAAGAGAACAAGGGGCGATCCAACTTAGCTTGTAGAGTTCCATGAGTCTGATTGAGGAGTCCTTGCTTAACAGTCTGGACTGCACGTTCTGCCATTCCATTCGACGCGGGATGGTACGGCGCAGACTTAATGTGCTGTATTCCGTTGTTATTCAGGAACTGTTGAAACTCTTCACTGGTAAATGGGGTTCCGTTGTTTGTGCCTACCATCTCTGGGATACCGAACATGGCGAATATGGAGCACATTTTGGCAACTGTTACTGCGGAAGTCGCATGTGGAACTGGATGTACTTCTATCCATTTAGAATGGGCATCAATCAAATGTAGGCACATCAACCCATTTATTGGGCCAAAGTAGTCCTGGTGTACCCGCTGCCAGGACCTCTCCGGCCAACGCCATGGACCTATCGCTGCAGGAGATTTTCGCCTTTGGCCTTTCTGACATTGTTCGCAGTTTTTCTGCAGCCGCTCTTTATCCTGGTGAATGTTCGGCCACCAACAGTAACCACATGACAGCGCCTTAATCCTGTTCACGCCTGGGTGTGCGTCATGCAGCTCTCTCAGCAACTGGGGCCGTAGTTCTACTGGTGGGACTATGCGCGAGTCTTGAAATATACAGCCGTCGCATGGACTCAACTCATTACTCCGATAGGCGTATAACTTCAGTTCGTCTGACGTGTTTGTAAGCCATCCGGTCATCAAGAACCGTTTCACCAACGACAACACAGGGTCCCGGTCCGTCAGGTGCCGCACCACGTCACTCCGGATTGGCGTCTTTTCAAGATGTTGCATCAGATTGATAAACTCCATGAGTTCACTATTCGTTTTTGTGCCATGCTTTTGCGGGAAGCGACTAAGGGCATTAGCAGTGGTCTTACTTGTTCCACTTACATACTGACTCTTGTAGTTATAGGCGCTCAAAGGTAGTGCCCACCTTTGCATTCGATGCGAAGACATCTGTTGGATTCCTTTCTCCTCACCCAGAAGCGAAAGTAGTGGTTTATGGTCGGTATGCTTATCAAACTGTCTACACCAAGCGTACTGGTGGAAATGCTTGACTCAGAAAATAATCGCTAAAGCCTCTCTGTCCAGTTGGGAGTAATTCCTTTCAGCGGATTTCAGCGTACGAGTAGCAAAAGCGATTTGACGAAGAGAACCGTCGTCCGTCCGGTGGCAAAGGACTGCGCGTACTCCGCGTGGGGAAACATCACACTGCATCACTAGAGGGCGGCTCGAATCGAAATGCACGAGATACGGGGAGGCTCTAAGAACGCTTTTTGCATCTGTGAAGGCCTTTCTTTGATCCGGACCCCAGGTCCTGGACTTCCTCTTGTGCAACTGTTCGTACAAGGGTGCAACTACTGTTGAGGCAACGATAGTGAGAAAACATCCCTAAGATCGTTCGGAGTTCAGCTTCATTCTTTACTTTCTCTTCTAACACGTGTAATCCGTCTTTATCGAGGCGATAACCAAGGTAACGAACGGAATCTGATAAAGATATGCTATTGGACTTCTTCGTTCGGAGCCCACTCATTTTTAGACGTTCGAACACAGTGGATAGGGTTTGCAAATGTTCAGCGTCTGTACGTCCTGTAATTAGAATGTCAATATAGGCGCAAGTGAAGGGAATATCTTTGATCAGGCTGTCAATGATCCTTTGGAATATCGCTGGACCGAACTGATTGCGAAGGGCGGACGTTTGTAAGACTCATGTGTGTACTTATCGTAGTGCCTGAGCGAGATGTCTCGTCTAACTCAATTTGTAATACGCGTGACAGGTCAATCTGTGTAAACTTTTGTCTGCCTGCCAGCGTAGCATACAGATCCTCTATCCGAGGTAAGGGATACTTATCCAGAAATAAACAACGATTAACAGTTAGTTTGTAGTCACTACAAATACGCACAGAACCATCCGGCTTCAGGACTGGAACTATTGGAGCTCCCCACTTACGGTATTGGACTGGTTCGATTGTTCCTTCTAATTGCAATCTCTTTATCTCGTCTGCCACCTTTGATCTCATGGAATAAAGTACGGAACGTGTCCTGAAAAAGCGGGGCTGAGTTCTCCGCCGTAGTTTGATACTAGCCTCATGTCCGTGCATTTTTCCTAGTTTCTCACCAAACACGTCAGCATATTTGTTGAGCACATTCTCCAAGCGCTGATTAATGGACATGGACTTCACTATCTCTAGCGTTGCCGGAAGGCATTCATTCCAGTCGCACCCGAGTAAGTTCGGACATATGTCTGCAAGGTCCTCTTCTCCCCATGGTAATTTACATGAACAGTGCATTTTCTCATGACTGGTATCGGCTGCCCAGTGTACGTCCGCAAAGTTGGTTCACAGGGGGATAACTTGGGTAATCTTTTAATTGATGCAGCACTCTTTATGGTAACTGAGGCACCGGTATCAACTTTCATTTTAGCCAGCTGGCCTATTTCCAATTGCATAGTCTAGGGTGGGGGAATGCTGCAGATGCTCGACGTTGCGTTCCAGCTCGTGTTTAGCTGGTTTTCTTCGTCTGAATACTGCATGACCTTCACGGGCTTCTTGGGAAAACATGATGCCGCAGCTGTGCAAGCTTTAGATCGGCAAACTCTGGCCAAGTGCCCTAATTTTCCACATTGGCGGCAGATATTCTGTTTTTGACGACATTCCTCGGCTGATAAATTCTGACTTTCACATCGTAACAGGTAAAAGGCAATTCGACCGTCTCGGAGTAACATCTTTCCGCTCGACTTCTTGGATTGTGTATGTATGAGGTTGCGGGGAAAAGCTGCTAACTGTTTATGGACAGTCTCCAGCTGTGGAACAGCATTGCAGGCCTTCTCCCAGGTCATCGTCGTCTCATCTTCCGACAACAACCTTCCACGAGCCTGTTTCGTTAGGGATACCGGATATCAAGCACTGTAAAGCCATCGCCTCATCGAACTTCGTAACTGGAATTTCACCATGCCGACACTCTGGTAGGGCTTGCTGAATCCGCGCAATGGAATCAATGACTTAGGGTCTGGGCTCAGGATCGATAAAGAATACCGCGCATTTTAAGTGTTCAACCGTGAACCCCATAACCCGCTGAAAACTTTTAGCGCACTGTTGATTGCCTCCTCGCCGAAATGGAGGGCATCAAAGTGTCTTTGGCCTTCATTCCCCAAAATTTGTTACAATAATTTAATTTTGTGGCTCTCTGTGAGTACCGTGTTTGGTTGCAAGACGGGTAGTATCTCCAATTAATCCAAAAAGGTGCGCTTCCACTGGTTCCAGGTGGCCGGTGTTAGTTTATCGGAAGGAATATTCCAAAGTATTGTAGGAAGGTGCAACCTCGCAATAGTTTAACCTCGTTCTCAGAATTTTAAGCATGGCCCTTAGCCGATCAACGGAACAGAACGCGCACGCGTAGTATGGAACCTGTTTACTAAAGGCATCCTGCGTTACAGTGGTTAGAAAAGCCAGAAAGGAAGACCAACGAATTAAGGAAACTAAGGCAGCCTCATTCTCAATCAATCAAGTGAGGTCCTGTGTTTACGAATCGATACTCAGGCGCATGCGTGACACTCATATTGTTGCCTCTCGATAGCCAGTTGTGACTGTTCACCTCACCTCATCGACCTAATGCATTGATATAAAAGCTTTTTGTCCATGGTGGCTGTTTTTTTGAAGTTCTAAATACACATCATCTAACACGGTCACGGATTTTAGCACTTCCTTTTCTTTCCCTATGCCTGATGTTTTTGCAGGGTGGATGACCAGATTTTGACCGTCAATGGGATCAGTTTGGAACAAGTCAGCAATTTGGAAGCGGTACAAACTATGAAACGCGCCGGCAATTCATTGCAGCTTGTAAGACAACCAAATGATGACCTGCCATGGATTCGTCTCCCTTATCCACACTGTAGGCAATTACCGCTGCAACTGTTTAGCCTTAACTTGAATGGCTCTTTTTCATCAAAGCAGTCTTGACTGGCCCTGTTGAAGATCAGTTAAAGCATACACATTGATTTTGCTTTCCGACACAAACGGCTGTTAACACAGCCGTTCTTTCGTCAATATTGCATGCTCCACTGTATTCCCATGCACAATGTTATGCCATTGTAATTTAAAATAACTGGATTTATCGTTAGTACTCTACGCCGTAGCTAACAAGAGCAGAAAGGGGTCAAGTGAGTGTAGCTTAGATTTTTAAAATCCTGTTACATTTCTACCATGCGAATACAGTGCAGAGGATTTTTGTTAGATATTTCTGTTTCCATGCGATTCCTTGCAAATATTCTCTCCCAGCCCAAATGAGATGTCAAGAGCAGACTGTATAGTTACTGAGACGCTACAAGCAATTTTAAAATAGGGGTATATTTATGGTTAAACCCAGATCGCCCTCTTTTCCTGATATAGTCGGATCAGTTGCTAACAGTAGCGATTTGCAACTAATTTAGCTAGTCGAAGACTCGGGCTTCTGGGAATACAAATTGGTGTTTTCGTTTAATGATGTTGGTTGGTCCAGTTCGTCTTCACTTCGAAATCGCTTTCTCTCAACACACGTGTAGCATTTTCAGGTGTTAAACACCTGCTCTTCACCATCTATCTCTGCACTTATCACATCCTGTCACATACCATTGGCAGAGTCACAAGTATTACCCAGTAAAGCGGAGATTTGTTTTGAAACCCAACACCTGAAGTGCTTTAAGGCTACGGATAAAGTTTCCTCAGAAGTGTTCAAGTATGGTGGTACAGCAGCTGTCAATCAGTTACCGTCCCTATTTCGGAAGCTCGGAAAGGAATAAAGATTATCCTTTCCTTGAGGAGGGTTAATAACTGTCTCAATATTCAAGCGAAGTTCTTGTGTTTCATGCGCCAATCACAAAGGAGTCAGTTTGACGTCATCTGCCTCCAAGATACTAGCATCCATCATACACCGCATACTTGCCCCAACGCGTAATGTACGCTGCTCGGAGGAGCAGGCTAGTTTTCACTCCGGTCGGAGATGTGTGGACGAAATATTCATGCTGTTTCAACACTTTGAACATCACCATTTCTTACCGCAGACTAACCACCGTCACTTTCCTGGACATTCAAGCTTCATTCGACTCAGTAGACCGACCTGCTTTATGGCGATACTTACTACAAATATGCAGTTTCCGTTGCGTACGCCTCTATACTTCGGGCGCTATAACTCCATAATCAGACAGGCAGCTTCCTGCACCCTTCGCTGTCACAAGCGGTGTGCGACAGGTATGTCTATTGTCTCCCTTTCTCTTCAACTTTGCGATCGAAGACGTCCTTTTGGTAGCTCTAGAAGAGCTGTAAAGTTTTGGCATCATTCCCCTTCCAGGTAAACACACAACCGACTTAGATTCTTCCTATGATATTGTTTTGTTCAATGACGAGTCCTGTGATTTGCGAGTAATCCTTTACCGACTGGTGGTTGAAGTTTCTAATATGATATGTGCTTGGCCCCCTCCAAGTGCTGTTACAGGATTGCCAATCGCTCCTCCTTCAGCTCGCCAACGTGGATTGTTCTGTCCACCTATGCAGTGGCATTTCTGCTGACAGCGCTATTGGAGAGGTGGTATTCCTCTCTATCGCTAACCTTGATCGGCTTCGCCAACCTGAGGAATTTACGACGTCGTCGCGACACTTCGGTGTCAGTTATGAGCATGGTTTAAAATGTTTGTGTTCTATCACTACTGCTGTGTGGATGCAAATCCTGGCAGATCCGTGTAGATGATATGTGTAGACTTTTACCTTTGACAGTGGCTGTTTGCAAGGGATTCCCCTTGTATGATTGCAAAACCTAGCCTGAAATGATGATGTCAGACACTTGGGCAAAACGGGTCTTCTGTTCTGTGAGCTGGTTTTGCTGCGCTAATTGATATGGGTTGATGATGTCATACATATGCCTAACGAGCATGTACCACGCTGCATCATGTTTGGTCTCACAGGGCCGCATTAGAACAGGTTGCGTGGAGTCCAGCCGACCATATGGCAACAGAGCATGAAAGTACTGACTTTGCGCTTAGCCATCGCTGACCTAATACATCTTCCTGGTTGATGGCTCAAAGGTGAAGAATGCCAGTCGCTTACAACGCTAGAAATAATGGTGAACAACCAACCACATTCAAAGCACTGCGCACGATTTTGCTTAACTTTACGATTTCATAAGCATTAGCTCTTTAAGCCATCGCCTCGAGACTGGACGTTAATTTGGTGCGATGCATTGAGCTTTACTTGACGAGGCTTTTGAGCTTTCAGAGCCACTCATGCGAGATTGGCCAGATAAACTCACTCTCCACGCGTTCCAGGCTTGGGGTTGGAGCGAAGATGGCTCCTTACTTCATAAAACTGGACTCTGTAGCCTAGTGCCAAAGCGCTGTTGCTTGTGGTTCAGGTTTTGAACTGAGGCCTTTGATTGAGAATTGTCCTTCTGTACAGGCCTGGGCAACTTGACAGCATCCTTTCCACACACTATATAGAATCTTTGATTTTCGGGTTTCGGAGCACCCGCCGTGTGTCTCGATTGTGACACGTAAAATCAGTTGTGGCTTTCGTTGACATTGAAGTCAGCCTCTGCCAATACGAGCACTGAAACCGTCACCGAAATGGCGAAATTTGGTGTGGCTATCCCATCCCTGCAGGGATGAATCTTACTTAAACTAATTTACTGATGCTCTGCTCGTTTCAGAGTATATATATATATATATATATATATATATATATATATATATATATATATATGTATATATATATGGTTGGCGGCATCCGGTTTCGGATTTGCCTGTCACTGTGGCAAGCCACAGGACGCCTGCGCCTACAGAGGGACCATGGATGGCTTGCGCTGCACCACCCACAGCTCCAAACACATACCCCATATCCAGTGTAAACCCGAAGGAATAAGACCGGGAGACATGTGGATGTGAGCCACGTTTCATCAACGGAGCCGGCCCACACTCCTTCACAGGCAAACACAAGCACACTGTATTTGGGGAATCAAGCGCACACAAGGCGGTGGCTGGACCGTAGTCCGCTCCATACTGAGTGCATGGAACCACTCTTCGAGCCTAACACGGCTACAAGAACCGTGCACCCCGTCCCCTCCAGCAACGACCAACTGTCTCCTGGAGCCAGTATGAACGATGTTGTGGGCAATAGACAGGTAGGCACCTTGTCAACATGCACATCAAGCGCAGCCACACCGGGGATATCAAACAACAGCCATTCACTTTAAACGACAAGCTGAAATTAAATAAATCCAATAATGCATACAGATACGGTGTCATAACTCTTCGCTAAATTACCATATGAAGTATGTTGGTTAGCAACAAATCCGTGATAAGTAAGAAATGTCCACAAGTTACTTCAAATGCTACAAACGCAACAAAATTACCGAAGATAAGCGCAATTAGTGTAAGCAACGTGGTCAGTTAATAGAACATTATTCAGGGAGGCAGAACAAACCAAATAAAGCGGAATGAAATTTATCCAGCTTAAAAAGACCTAGTTTAAGTGTAAGTTGGTTTAGCCCAACTGCGGTGAAGAAGCATCAAGAATGCAACATCAGCCTCAGCATGGGGCACTATATACATATATATATATATATATATATATATATATATATATATATATATATATATATGGTTGGCGGCATCCGGTTTCTGATTCGCCTGTCACTGTGGCCAGCCACAGGACGCCTGCGCCTACAGGGGGACCATGGGTGGCTTGCGCTGCACCACCCACAGCTCCACCCACACACCCCATATCCAGTGTAAACCCGAAGGAATAAGACCGGGAGACATGTGGATGTGAGCCACGTTTCATCAACGGAGTCGGCCCACACTCCTTCACAGGCAAACACATGCACCCTGTATTTGGGGAATCAAGCGCACACAAGGCGGTGGAGCTGGACCGTAGTCCGCTCCACACTGACTGCATGGAACCACTCTTTGATCCTAACACGGCCACAAGAACCGTGCACCCCGTCCCCTTCAGCAACGACAAACTGTCTCCTGGAGCCAGTATGGACGAGGTAGTGGGTAATAGATAGGTAGGCACCTTGTCAACATGCACATCAAGCGCAGCCTCATCGGGGATATCAAGCAACAGCCAATCACTTGAGAGAATGATGACAAGGAAAATAAATCGATTAATGCATAAGGAAAGGGTGACATATATCTTAAAGTAATGAGCATCTGAAGTAAATTGTTTACAGAAGAATGCGAGATAAGTTCACGAGGTCAGAAAGTATACTTTACGGAAATGCCACGAACACAAAAATGTTTTCGAAAAGGACTAGAATTGGCTTAAGTGACGTGTGCAAATTTATAGAAGAAAGTACAGGTAGACATTTATTTGAGAATGCAAAGCATTGGGACAAAATTGAAAACCAACCACCTGAAATAAACAGACTTAGCACGCAAGCAAACGATGAGATAAATCTTAAATTAGTGAACATATGAAATAAGTTGTTTACAAAAGAATACGTTTATATATATATATATATATATATATATATATATATAACAACTTCCGGACATTTTGTACTTTTCGCGGATTCACTTTACCGATTTCTTCCATATGCTCGTTTAACGAGTATTTATATCATCATATACGTTTACTTTATTCAATATCAGCATTTCGAATGATTGGCTGTTGTTTGACATCCCAGGTGTGACTGCGCTTGATGTGGATGTTGACAAGGTGCCTACCTGTCTATTACCCACTACCTCGTCCATACTGGCTCCAGGAGACAGTTTGTCGTTGCTGGAAGGGACGGGATGCATGATCCTTTTGGTCGAGCTTGGCTCGAAGAGTGGTTCCATGCAGTCAGTGTGGAGCGGACTACGGTCCAG